GTTGCGAACTTAGCAATGGAATTCGACAGACTACTGCCATATCTCAACACATAGGCAGCTGAAGATTGCTTTTGATTCTTGATAAGACTTGCTATACATAATCCATTAAACACCCATAGAGAACACGGAGACTCATATTCGATAGTAAGGATGATAATGAACTCATGTCAAATAGTAGATTAGGTCTTGAAAATGCGACAAAGCACAAATTATTTGAAAAGACCTTCTTTTATGTTGTCTATTAATCAAACATGTAAACTGATAGTGAAATTAAATATCCATTGACAAAGAATCAAACACACTTTTCAATTTTTAATATCAAAAAATATGTTTCTCTTAATCGTAAAATATTTTTCGAATGCTTGCAGAACAAACGAATGGTGAGTACAAACAATTGCAACGTCTACACATCAAACTGAGTGTAGGTTTTTTTTCGTTCCACTTTTTGATAGTAAATATTGACGGAATCTGTACAAGTATATTAACTTATACGCTAGTATTCATCAGTTCTGCTAAGTTGCTCATTCTTGGTCAAGTTTATCTTGGAATGTCTCTAGAGTGATGACGATAATATTGAGATAAAATGCAGCTTGCGTATGTTAACTAGTAAACACTCTCCCAAAATAAAACGCCACCCTATAATAGAAGGCCACCCGAAGTAGAACGCCACCTCTAAACGGTTGATTCACTATACATGATAGAATGCCATGTCAGTCAACTTTATTCACTCACTGATTCACATTAATTACTTTTTTTGTTGTGTCACTGATGCGCATGTTATTTATAGGATGAGAAATTTGTATATTTTCTTTCTTCCGTTCTGTTGCATCACACCGCGAACGAATATACGACTCTCTCCAACAGATAACATGCAATAGTGACAGAGCGAAAAAAATTAATTAGTGTGAATGAGTGAGTGAATGAATGCAACTTCTTCTATTTCCAATACAATCAACGAATAAACTAAATTTAGTGCTTGAAGTGAGTAAAACTAATAGAAAAAGATGACAACAAAGTGAGCATAGCTATAGAAGGAATTTTTCGAAAAACTCATAATAGAAGGCTACCAAAAAAAGGTCGATTCACTGGAATGTAATAGAAGGCCATGCCTTTTTATTTTAGGGGGTAGGGGTTTATTGCACTCTGAGTCATTTTATAAGGTCTGAGGGAATTTAATTCATGATAAATACTATCTCGACTTCTCATGAGTTGAGATCTATAACACATATATTAACTTTGTTTCTAATTACCCTCCATCTGTCTAATGGTGACTACATGGTCAATTGTGTTCCTTAGTATGTATAATTCGCGGAGTTATCATGAAGCTTTCGAAACACATCTAATTCAGCAGTGAATTTCTTTATCGATTAATATCACACAGAAATTCCAAGAGACCTGTATCGACCGTAAGTAGAGAGCATTTTGTTTAAAAAAATTCGAATTTTTGCAGGTTTTTCAAAATTGTCGATTTTGTAAGTCATATATCTCGAAGGCAGAGCAATAAAACAAAATACTTTTTTACCAATCAATAGCTTGTGAAGTTTCCTACAAGTAATGCTTTGGGAGTTTGTCAGTCTCATGCTTCCTTTATTTTCTCTGATCGTTCTACAAATGGGTCAAATATGATCCGTTGAGGGGGGGGGGGCGTTAAGGGGTTAAAACAACTTGAACAATCTATTGTGATTATATCTCCCTGAATCACTTTTTATGGTTCTGTACGTCGTTTTATACCATTTCAATCAATTTATGCGTCAACAACAAGCTCTATTTGCTTACGATGTTGATAAGAAAAAAGTTTAACAAGATAACTAAATCCCGAATATTTACAGAGATAATAGGTTGAAATAATGGCGAGCGCATAAGCTACGATTGAAAGTATGTGCTCTATATTTTCGATGGATTAGAGCAATAGAAAGAAAATAGTAGGCATTATTAAATTCATAGTATCATGTTGACGAGGCCATTCGATACGTATACAAATACACTTCTAAATGCAAAGGACTCATCGATAAGAACACAAGTTTGTATTCTTATGAATCTATTTTTATGTTTCATATTTCTCTATCAGATTTACGATCGTAATAACAAAACAAAATTAAATGTTTTCATCATTTTTCTCAATAATTATTCTCTGTGGAGCAATCGTACAAGATGTATACAGTTGGGGTGTAATTGGACACAGTGTCGTGGCTCATCTAGCTCAGAGTCAATTGACTGACGAAGCGTCTCACTGGGTCAAATCTCTTGTTCCTTGGTATTTATCAGGTAATTTGACTGCTGTAGCAATATGGGCTGATGATATTCTCTATCCGGATACAAATTCATTTGGTTATCCAAATTGGCAATGGAGTCGACCACTACACTACATCAATACACCAGCTTGGGCTTGTAACTATGATTCATCGAGAGATTGTATCAATGGTGTCTGCATCGAGGGTGCATTGAAGAACTATTCAAAACGTGCCATTGATGCCAATCTCGATGATGTTCAACATCAGGAAGCACTCATGTTTCTTGTTCACTACGTTGCTGATATTCATCAACCGTTACATGTCGGTTTCCAAGAAGATAATGGAGGCAATAGAGTCAGAGGTAAATGTTCATTCCTAAATCCAAAAAACAAAAATAGTCGAAGTTGTAAATTTTGTAATTAGGCTACTTCATGAATGAAACATATCCAACGAATCTTCACTCATTATGGGATAGTGGGCTCCTCAACATACGATTGTCACGCGATTTCGGATCGAATATCACAAGTTATTACGAGTATGTTCATACACTCATGATTAGTCAAACACCGACAACTAGTGATGATGATTTCAACCAATGGATTCGTGAAAGTTCCAAAGTGGTTTGTCAGCAAGTCTATTTGGACGAAACTAATATGACGATGAATGCATCGGTCAATTTTACATTGGGTGATATTTACTACGAAAGAAATATTGGAATAATCGAACAACGTCTTGCTCAAGGAAGTCGACGATTGAGTGTTTTGTTCAATCGCTTAGCTGCCAATCGTCCAATGGTGCCATCGAGATGTGAAAAATTGTGTTCAAACATGATCAAGTTAATTGTGCTAATGTGTATTACTTTGAAATCATTCTTGTCATAGTCTCGATAAAAATTCGCTCTTTTATGACAAGAAACAACGAACAAAATGATCGTTTGATAATTTTTTGTATTGAGAGAAATGAGTATATTGATGTCAATATAATTTGACTTTAATGATGCGAATTTATTGTTTTAGGGGGTGTGGATATATATGAGTGTGAGGTGTGTAAATGAGTGAGGAATGAAGAACAACTTCATCCTCAAGTTCACACTTCTATCCTAAACTCTCATATGACATTTTCTAATAATTCAGTCTTGGGGTAAGCAAAACTGTATCCGATAAGCGTTACTTATTCCTGGCCACTTTTTAAAATTTAATTTTGAAAGAAATTCCTAAACTTCGATGAGTATGGAGTCAAATATCGAAAGTCATTTCAAGGAGATATCTACAGTAGATTTTTAACTTATATTAAGTTTGTTATTGCCATACAGTTATTTCTTGAAGATAAGCGAATCGAACAATAATCTTATCGAATACTGTCTTTTGAGTATCAATTATAATACAATACTACACTAGTCAACTATATAATGAAATACTGCTTTTGAAAATGAATCACTTTTCAGTTGGATCATGGTCTCCAATGAGGATTCATTAATGGGTATGATTGTTCTTCGACATCTTTTTTACACCACTGTACCAATGGGCGTATTATCTTATGTGATATCTTTTCTTTCTCACTGTATTGCTATACAATCAATGGCATGTATTGTTCATAATCGCGTTACTGTTCCGTTTATCTATGCATGATTGAACCTTCTCCTCTCTCTGCCGTAATGAACTTCTCATTCTATATCATCGTTCACTCGTACATTATATGTATTGTTCCCACCTCCCTATTCATACGCTATGTCCTTACTCTATTATTCTTCTATATGTGTTCTCTCGTTGGCCTCATCACTTTTTGATCATTACGTTGTTCTCTTCTTGGCTTCATCTCCTTTCTTTTCATCCTCTCTTATTCTACTCGTGTATAGAAGCATATACTTTATATGTAAACGATACGATTGTATGATATAAGGGAATAGAATAAAGTGTATCACCAATCACACTGACATCTCTTGTATCATTGATCGCCACAAGACGATTATATGATATGAAGGAATAGAATAAAGTGTAACTCCATCGACATTAACATCCCTTATATCATTTTTCGTCACATTCTCCAGTAGAAAATTTTCGTTTCTGAAAATTAACACATGAGCATCTTCTCCAAGAGCCAACAAACAAACTGGCACGGAGCATTCCAGTTGGGTTTCTTCATAAGTTCTAAAACATTCCATATTTACTCGGATCGCATTCATCTCATCTTATTTTTCCTTTTGCTTCCTCTTAGACAAACTTCATAATAGTATTTTTGTATGATACTGTTAATTCAATGGTTTGTAGAAATCGTAAAATAGCTTTGTAGTACATTTAAACAAATATTATTTATTACAAAATAGTAGAACTCAAGTGCTAGCGAATTATATACAACACATCGAGCTTCTTCGACTTTTCAAATGGGATTGTTTTTGTGATTAAGCCTACGCTGAGACCTTTATCTGCAATTGTTTTACGACTGTGTCACGGTAGCAGCAAACATGATAACTAGCATGAGGCATACATGCATAGTCGATATCATAATTTGCGTTGAGAGAAGCAGACATTTAGGTTTGCGATAAAATCTTTTACTGTATGTAACGAATGATCTGAATATAAAAAAACGAACAGAAGACTAACGAAAAGAAGGGTATAGGACAATAAGACAGATTTTTATGTCATACAAATAAATTGAAATAACAGTATTATAGATAGGAGCGTTGCGTTAACATTATATAATACTGAAATACTTTTACGACTGCGTTTTACAGCATCAGACCGCAAAAAAAAACAGAATAAAAATAGTTTATTTTAAGAACAGTTCTCAAAAGAGCAGGACAATTTAACTTTTTATTGTCAACTATTCGAAAGCAAGATCATCAAATAGATATTCAATCATACCTTGGGACTATCATTTTTTCATTCCACTAGATCTCTGATATAGAAGAGATGACTAATATATATGGATTTAATTAATAACAGTGATTTTTGAACTGATATTGATGAAAATTGAATCATTCGATCATTGACAAATTTAATATTCGCACTGTATGGAAACAAAAATAAATTACAGAAAAATACAAACTGAATATGCTTGCCAATAAGCATTTCGAAACAATAAAATCATACGATGTCGCTATCGTAAGTATCTGAAAAGGTATGCTGTGCATACCTTGTCCAGTGTAGCCAATAAGAAATCAAATTATGAAATTATGTTAGGTCAACATAAAAAACGACAACTTCCATATGAATCAGTTAAAATTCAGCAATTTGACGCGAATCAGCATTCGCTAGAAAATCGAGATGTTTCTTATTAGGTAATTCAATAACGTTTTATTGTTTCTAAATTTATTTTGTATTTAAACATGTAAAATATTAGATTTGAGATGTATATATATATATATATATATCAATTGAAATAATTTAATGTTTACGCTTTTCTTTCAGTAAATCAAGAACATATTCGTTATTATCAATGTGAATCATGATTTATCATTTTTTTGTCTACAAGTATCACAATGTCGTATTACATAAAAGATGAGTCGGCATTCATTCATTTTATTCGGCAATTTATTGTTTACCGATCTACAGAAAAAATTATAATTGTTTTGGGTGGATTTGGGTTTTAGTTTTTGAAATTAAACTAAATCCAGTTGAAGATATATATTAACTTTTTCGTTCCATCGTTTTTTGTCTGCACAACACCATTATTATTAATTTATCCATCAATTTTCTTCGTATTAAAACAATAAACACCGGTATGGGCTCGTAATATTTCAACAATTATTTTGATTAAAATTTGTATTGTGTTTATCGGTAAAACCAAACGAAGTGCGGAATTAAATCTCCTGAAAATTTTTTTTATTAATACCAAAATTTTTTTTTTGTAAATAGTAGATGATAGAAAAAAAATAACTGTCTTCAACACATGACAGTTAACATAAAAAATATCCTACGACCATTAGGTACGGGTATGAATTATGTAGTGATTTTATACATGTTGTACGAAAAGTAATGATCAATCTAGAAATTGTCAATAGAACTAATAGAATTGAATCAATCAATATATTTTTATGTTGATGAACTCTTACACAATCATGAATTGACTTATTTATAATGAAATAAACGAATAATTGAATCATATGTTGTAAGAAATATTGACGAAAATGAAACTATACAACATAGTCATTTTGTTGAATTCATCATTTAACAAATGACAATATAATGAATAATGCAAACATATTAAAATTAGAATTAGAAAAACTTCTGTTGTATTTTTACCGATTTGATAATATAGTCTTTTGCGAACTTTAATAAACAAGTAGTACAATCGAGATTTTTTCAATCGACGAATAGCCTTGGAAAACAATAACAAGTTATCAGTATAAATTCAATAATAATACAACTGTCACATGAACTTGATTGATTAATGTTTTCAAAAAATAATAAACACAATTCAGTCAGATATGTTGTTTTACTAACGAGCATCTCAAGCTAAATTGCACTAAATCTCAGTGCACTTTTCTTTTGATTCTTAATCGTAACAAAAATATTCGTTCTTATACCAAGAGATCGAGAATTTCAAGTTGTACAAAAATGTTGACTTTGTTTTTCAAATAAATGTGTCTTGTCGGCGTAAAAATTTTAAAAAATGAACATTACTTAAACGTATAACTGCGCTTGTCAACAAAATGAAAAACTGAAAAGAGTTTTTTAATAAAGGTTACTCTGAAATTTCAATAATCTTACAAAATTTTTCATAAAACTCTGTATCGTTGGATGAATGTTTCAGAATTTTAAAAGGAATATTTGGAAAAAACAATGTTCGAAGTAAACAATTTGAAAACATCGAAAAAAAATCCTCTTCTAGTTGATCTATGACATTCTTGCTTTTTAATTCAAAACAACATGAATATTTTCACTTTACAATTTAATCTTTACAGTTTTGTTGAGAATTAAATTCTTCATCAGATGACATTTTAACACATCTTTTATAGATTAAGTTTGCCTTTTAAAAACATGATTTTCTAGAATGTATTGAAAAATATCGACAGTTATCAATTCGAAATCTTTTTCTGGTGAACACTAAGAATCTTGGAAAATGTCATGGAAGCATAGAGCACAAAATTCTCTATCTATTAGTGTTCAGCAAACTCCTTTTATTTTCGATCTTGATGAGCACAAGTTTTACACAAATCAATAAATATCAGCTGGAAATAAGAAAACGCAATTGAACGATTCAGTACACATGAATCTTTGAAATTTGATGCCGACAAGGCAAATTTGTTTGAAAAACAAAGCCGACAATTTTGTGCAGCTTGAAATTCTCTATCTTTTGATATTGAAAGAAAATTTCATAGGTTTAGAAAGTAAGAGAAAAAAACATCAAAATTGCGTGCAATCTGTTCTGGGACATTCATTAAAAATAGTTATTATAGGTAAAATTAGTTAATAGACACTTCAATCAATCTATAGAATCAGCTATGAATTAAAAGTAATGAAAGGGAAACTTTTGTCACTAGTACCGCACAGAAAAATAGTGCTAGCAAAAATAAGATCGATCGAGATGCAATGTGAGTGATAGATCAGTGAAATCTATGATTTAATATATGATCCAAAAATAGTATTCAAACAGAGCATGTATCTTTTTGTGCTGCATTAACATACACTATCGCACTTATATTTTAAATTTAGCTATAATTACTTGTTGGACATTATTTTTCATCTGGTATACATTCTTTACTATTTTCATATATATTGACTTTTTTTGTAATACATCAAGTTGCACCTCTTTTTCTCATTGCAAATGGAACGCAGTCATGTAATTCAATTTAATAATTTATTGCCAGTTGTATTAGGAAAAAAAACAGTATCTTCGAATTGACTAGAAGAATGTAAACACTCGATTGACATCAATCTCT